CGCGCTGCCCCGCCCGCTCCTGGGCTCCTGGGGGTCGTGCTGCCCCGCCCGCTCCTGGGCTCCTGGAGGTCGTGCTGCCCCGCCCACTCCTGGGCTCCTGGGGGTCGCGCTGCCCCGCCCAGTCCTGGGCTCCTGGGGGTCGCGCTGCCCCGCCCACTCCTGGGCTCCTGGGGGTCGCGCTGCCCCGCCCAGTCCTGGGCTCCTGGGGGTCGTGCTGCCCCGCCCACTCCTGGGCTCCTGGAGGTCGCGCTGCCCCGCCCACTCCTGGGCTCCTGGGGGTCGTGCTGCCCCGCCCACTCCTGGGCTCCTGGGGGTCGTGCTGCCCCGCCCACTCCTGGGCTCCTGGGGGTCGTGCTGCCCCGCCCACTCCTGGGCTCCTGGAGGTCGTGCTGCCCCGCCCACTCCTGGGCTCCTGGAGGTCGTGCTGCCCCGCCCACTCCTGGGCTCCTGGGGGTCGTGCTGCCCCGCCCAGTCCTGGGCTCCTGGGGGTCGTGCTGCCCCGCCCAGGCCTGGGCTCCTGGGGGTCGTGCTGCCCGCCCACTCCTGGCTCCTGGAGGTCGTGCTGCCCCGCCCACCTCCTGGGCTCCTGGGGTCGTGCTCCCACCGCCCACTCCTGGGCTCCTGGGGTCGTGCTCCCCTGCCCACTCCTGGGCTCCTGGGGGTCGTGCTCCCCCGCCCACTCCTGGGCTCCTGGAGGTCGTGCTGCCCCGCCCACTCCTGGGCTCCTGGGGGTCGTGCGGTCCCGCCCCGCCCACTCCGCTTCCCTGCCTGGCGCTCAGGTGTGCTCCTCACACCCCGGAACCCCGAGGGCAGGAGAACGCAGTCCCGAAGCTGGAGGCGACCGCCGCGCAGGCCCCAGGACGACGTCAGGCTGGAAGGAGTCAGCCTAGGACTGCGCCCCTCCAGCCGCCCCGCAGAGCACTCCGCGCTCCGGTGTGGACCGGTCCTGGAGGAGCCCGGTTCACAGAGGAGGAGACAGTCTGCCAAGGTCCACAGCGAGTGTGGGACCAGGTTGCGGAGCGTCCATGCCCGAGTCCACTGTGGCAGAGAATCGCGGGTGGGCACCCACGAGCCTCTGCACCAGCCAGGATCTACCACTGACGATGAGAACACATCCCTGTCTCTGCGCGCTCCGGGGAGGGAAAGGGGCCAGGAGGCTGGGCCAGGTGGGGTCTCCTCCTGGCCAAACCACCTCCGGGTTGAGAACAGGTTTGACTGACAGGTCAGCTGGACACTGTGCTTCCCCAGAGCAGGGTCAGGGAAGCCAGGACCTAGGGACCCCAGGTTGTCACGGAGCAAACACTTGCTGTTTGTAACACGCCCCACGGCTCAGTGAGAGACCTGTGACAGGTGGCATCTGCTGTGGTCCTCGTGAGACTCCTGTGGGGAGTCCCAGAGATCACCCCCTTTACTGATGAGGGGCAGACTCAGAGAAAGCAGACGCCAACGCCCGTGGTCTGCAGACCAAGTCCTCCGCGAGGGAGTGGAGCGGCCCTCGCCCATCCTCCAGGTCCTCCCCTGAAACCCTCCCACGGCTTGGAGCTGCCCAGAACCCTCCCAACACGGTCCTCCGTGGCCTGGGGCCGCGGTTCCTGACCCCAGTGCCCCGATGTGTCTTCTCCTGCGGCCTGCAGCTCCCTTCCCCATGCCACTGGCCCTGGGTGGTGAGGACAAGGCCATCAAAGGAACCGTGGGGCCAGCCGTGTGGCCGTGGAGTGAGTTTGCAAGCGAGTCTCAGGCCCACACAGCTCGAAGCGTGGAGAACACAGCTTCATTCCGGGCCAGAGCCTGCCATCTGGGCAAGCTAAAAATACAGCTCCATTTTCAAGCAAGAGTTTATAGATGTGACTATGAGATCCTGGATAAAGACAGGCCTGGGGACACCGCGGGAGGGTGACCGCGGGGCCCAGAACCTTTAGCGCAGGAAGGTTGCCAGGAAGGCCCAGCCCCTTCCCACCCCCAGCACAGGGTGCCCGGCTCTGCCCAGTGGTGACAGGACTAGACAGGGAGTGTGGGCTGGGGGGAGACCCTAAAAAGAATCAGCTGGATCCAGCACACCGCACAGGCCGCGTGAACACGTCCCCAGCCCACCTCGCCCCACACCCTCTGACCCTCACCCACTGTCCAAGCTTCTCCTGTTTGCTGACCTGGCTCCAGCCACGTGCCCGCTTAGGACCTCTGCCGGCTCCTCCTTGCGTCTGCCTGACTCCTGGATCACCGGACTTACAGTAGGACTCACCCCAGTAACACACATCTCCCCACTTTCTTCTTTTGTGGCACCAGTGAGTACCTCACATTGGCTTATTAATTTGCTGACTGATGACCCCCAACCTCTGGAAGGTAAGCCCAGGAGGACAGGAGCTCCGCCCACTCCAGTTTCCGGGCACAGGCTGGGAACAGAGGCAGCCCCTGCTCACCCCCACCTCTGACCGCACCCCCCTGCAGCCACACCCACTCTGCAGGAGGGTCCTGTAGCTTCCACTGTTCCTCAGAGACCAGACAAGGGAGACACCCCCTAGCGCCTCCAGGGGCCCTTCTGGGCACTGCCGACCCCTGCCCCATCCTCCTGGTCCGCCGCCATCCATTTATCTGCGGCCCTGCTCCACCAAGAAATACGGGGCCTCCTTGCCCTGGCTGGTGGCTCAGCTGGTGGGAGTGTCCCCTGGACACCAGAAGGTCTCAGGTTCAATTCCTGGTCAGGACACACACCCAGGTTGCAGGTTTGATCTCCAGTCAGGTGTGACAGAGGAAACTGACCGATGTTTTTCTCTAAGTGTGCCCTTGGGTAAGGATTCGAAAACAAAATCCAGACCTGAGGCAGGTGAGGGTGGAGAATTGGGTTAAAACCATCCACGTGACAGGGCAGTGGGCAGCATGAGCAGGAGCGAGTCAGGTGTGCCCGGCCACACCTGGCACCAACAGCACACACACCACCAATGTGGCCCAGAGGTGCCCGCTCCTGTTGGGTCTCGGCCGCGCCCCCAGGCCCACCGTGGGCACGGGCAGGGCAGAGGGGAATGAGCAGCTGCACCCAACCTGGGGGGCACCCGCTGCTGTCCCAGGAAGCACGTGCCAACTTGGGATGTCTGCGGTGCCCACGGTCCCCCACGTCCCCCAGGCGTGGTGAGAGCTGCTTCCCTGGCAACCCCGAGCTCCGGCTCTGCCACACAAGCCGCTCACAGGGAGAGCCGGCCGGTCCCCATGGCAATTGGGGAGCCAGGTCCGTGGACGACAGGCGGCCCCTCTGCCACCTGTGGGGCTCCGCAGCAAAACCCACGTGGGCAGGGCTGACGGCCCTCGGCTGAGCTACCTGGGTCCGCCCCGGTGGCCCCGCCCCGCAGCCTCCCACGCACGTTCCAGGGCTGCGCCTTGGCTAACGCAGCCGGCAGGAGGCGGGGCCCAGCCGCCAGCTCCTTCGCTCAGCCCGTTGCTGCCTTCTGGGGCGCAGACTGTGCCCAAAGGGAAGGGAACCGTGAGCTGCGGCCACCAAAAGCAGCGACTGGGAGCCCCGTGGCTGAGAAATGCTTCTGGAACACCGCTCCCCGCTCTGCTCGGAATCCTGGCCCCAAATCTGGACATCAGAGTAGCCACATCTCTGCTTGCAATCCTGGTCCAAACACTGGACATCAGAGTGTAACCACATCTCGCCTCACGAAAGCGCCGTTCAGGGCGCGGGCCTCTCCCAAGGGGGCCCCCAGTGGCACAGGGCGCACAGGGGTGGGGCCGGGTCGGGGAGCTGCGGGAGCCCAGCGCCCCTGTACGGCGAACAGAAGGACCACTCGCCAAAGCAAATCAGCAGCAAGTGAATCAAAAGGTTTATTTTGAATATTTAATTTTAGAAATCACACCTACAGGAGCGCTACAGAGATGAGCGAGGGCACAGGAACCGGGGAGCGGGGAAGCAGATGCTGCGGGCGGGGCCCCGCGCCAGCCCCACGCCACACCCGCTGCTCGGGCCTGGAGACAGGACGCACCTGCTCCCCCACTCCGCTGGGGCGGCGCTCCCCACGCGGTCCACGAAGCGGCCACAGGGAGCCTCCTGGGTCCAACGCTGCCCTTTCGCTTCCTATTTGTAGCCACGTGGACCCATCAAACCTCAGCGCCTCCCTCAGGGAGGCCCCACAGCGGAGGCCCCCACAGTGGACACGTGTCCGAGTGACAGTCCGCAGGCCCTGGAGCCCGGGCCTGGAGACCCAGGGGCAGCCGCCAAGGGCCTGGGTGACAGTCTCCCAGGGGCCCAGCAGCCCCCTCGCGGCCAGGCGTGCGGAGTGGCCCAGGGCCAGGCCGGGAGATGCACCAACCAAGACTGGGATCTCTGCCCGGCTGAGGTCCTGGGGGTTTCACGTGCGGAGGCTTTTCCACCCGACGTGGATGCTGTCCAGCTTTTAGAACTTCCCTCGACTCGGAGTTTCTCCCGGGCCCTCGTCCTACAAACACGGAGCCTCGAGGGCCTCTTCGGGGACAGCGACTCCCGCCCCGCCCCACGGCCTTGTCGGGGCAGCGTGGAAGGTCTGTGTTTGTCCTGGCGTCTCCCCGCCGGCCGTGGGGGCGAGGGCAGCATGTCTTCCGAGGAACTAAGGGTCCCCAAAGTGGCTCCATGTGAAAATTTGGCAAAAAAAGGGGAACACCTCGAATGCATAAAAACAATCCCCAAGTCCTCCCAAGGAACATGATTACAATATATTAGCAAATTCTGTGGCATAAACATTTCCAGAAGCATCGGCAGGAGCGTTAAATACAGAAGCAGTATGCGGCCCCCAACCTGCGCACAGGAAGGGCACGCCCACGGGAAAGTGCCCACGTGGGAGGCGTGCCCAGGGTGGGCGTGCCCACGGGAAAGCGTGCCCACGTGGGAAGGCGCGCCCAGGGTGGACGTGCCTACGGGAGGGCGTGCCCACGTGGGGAGGGCGTGGGCGTGCCGAGGGGAGGGCGTGCCCACGTGGGAAGGGTGCGCCCAGGGTGGGCGAGCCGACGGGAGGCGTGCCCACGTGGGAGGCGTGCCCAGGGTGGGCGTGCCCACGGGAGGCGTGCCCACGTGGGAGGCGTGCCCACGCCGCGCCTACTGCCGCAGCTCCACGTAGTTGGCCGGGAAGAGCCCGTACCGGCCCTTGCACAGCCCACGCCACCAGCCGTCGTCGATCATCTCGATGTTGGTGATGATGTCGTCGGGGTCGAAGGAGATCTCGTCGTCGCCCGCTGGGGAGGCAGAGGGGAGTGAATGTCACCGTGGCTCCTGGCGGCCCAGGGGGAGGGGGGAGGGTATTTTCCCACCAGGCCCTTGTTGGGGAATCCCCACTGGGGTCATCGGGGGGCATGGGCCCAGGCCACTCGGCTTCAGCCTCGATGGTTCAGAGAAGGGCTGAAGGGAACAGGTGGGGGGAGGGGGTGCGGAGTGTGTACAGTGTGGGTGCATGTGGGGGGGGTGTGGGTGGATGTGGGTGTGGGGGAGTGGGTATGGAGTGGGGCTGTGTAAGTAAGTGGGTGCGTGCATGTCTACACAGAGAGATGGCATTTCCATAACTCTGAAATTACTTCAAAATAACTTATTTCCTAAAACTGTTACAATGCCCCGAAAGTCCGACTCCCGCGAGGCAAGTGGGGACGGGGAGCGGGTCCCCGACGAGCTGCCCCCCCCCCGCTGGGCCCTCACCAGCCTGGTAGTCGTAGAGAGCCAGGGCGGTGACCCCGAGGTCGTTCTCATACTCGTCGTAGGTGCTCTCCTCTGGAAGGGAACAGGCCGTCTGAGCCGCCGCGGTCCCAGCCTTCCCGGCGGGGAGGGGCCGCGGCAGGACAGGCTCTCCGGGCACCGGGAGGACCGCTGGGCACGGCCTTCCCACAGCACACGTGGGAACACGGCTTGGAACAAGGAGAGCCCCACCCAGCCCTGACCACCCAGCAGACTGACTGTCTTGCCAGCTGGATCACGACCGCTGCACGCCAACTGCAGCCCGTTCAGAGGGGGGGGCGATGTGAGCGGACGCGGAGCCCGCGTAGCCCGCACCTCCTGCCACCCGGGCAGAGTGCTCTGGGGCACCAGCGGTCCTGCTGCCCACGGCGGTGCAGGGCCTGGGACAAACCTGTCCACACAGACCAGAGCAAACCTCGTCGTAGAACAGCAGGCTGGTCTTAGTGTTCTCCCAACTGAAGTACCTTCCACCAGTCACCCCACAGACCCCAAGACTCCTGGCTCCGGAGCTCCGGTGACGCCCGAGCTGCTGGCTTAGAGGGCCAGCCACAGAGGCCCCTCCGTCCTGCCCAGCGCCCCAGCACAAGCAGGGCACTTTCGGGACGCCCTACCTGCCGGATAGTGGCCGGGGGCCTCGGCCGCTTCATAGACGGCCTCGGGGTAGTCGGTGGCCTCCCTGCTGTACACAGGCTCAGGCTCGCTCGGGGCAGCTCTGCAGCTCTTGAATGAAGCCGCGTCCTGGGAAGTCAACAAGTCCTTTCTCGTGACCTGTCCTGGGTGTCCCCCCCTCAGGTCCCGACGGGACTGAGGAAACAGGACCTGCTGACCTCAGTGCTGAGGGCCGGGCGCACCTCCTCCCAAGTGACCCCTCACGCCCAGCACCCCACGGCCTGTCAGGAACTGACACTGCGGTCAGTCTGGCCCGGACCCCCGGGGCCGCCCGAGGCACCCCCGGCTCTAGCCCTCAGGGCAGCAGGGCCGGCCGACGAGCCTCGAGCCAGTGCAGGTCCTGGGGGAAAACCACACAGCCCCTCACAGCCACCGTGACCCTGAACCCCAACAGAAGCTCCGAACTACCAGGTGCTGCAACGGCTTTAACATGTTTCTGACTGGGGTCCATCACAGGGCCCCGGGGCAGGGCACAGGAAGGGTTCACGGAGCAGCTCTGCTGAGAGCGGGGGCCAGGAACTGCCTTTGGTGGGGGTGAGCAGTGTGGCTTGTGTGGCCCACGTGAGCCACGGTGGAGGCGATGGAGGGCTCCGCTTGCGGAGCCTCCTAAGGGTTAAAGGGCGTTGGGCACGTTTCCCTGGACGTGAAGAGAACCGAGTGTGGGTCAGAGGCCAGGTCACAGTGCCGGGACCCATGCGGGCTGCCTAGGGCGCCCCAAGCGGGTCAGTGGAGTGGGGGGCCTGGCACGACCCCACCCTCCCTGTATCACGTGGTCTGCCAGCCCCCCTATCACAGGACCCAGGTCCCCTCGCCAACAGGGGCAGCAGGTCAGCCTGGCCTTTTCCAAAGACCAGCTTCTTAAAGTCTGGCCCAGCGGTGAAACAAGACGGGGTATGGGGTGCGAGACCCCACCACCACCACTTTCCGCTGGATCACGAGTTGCAAGGCCCCATCCAGTCCGGAGGCTGCAGCCAGGACGTGGAGGGAGCAGCTCACGGAAGGGACGCTGTGGCGCTGTGGCCGGAACCCTGCCTGAAGAGGCCCCGCCCCACAGCTCCCCCCGCCCCACAGCTCCCCCCGCCCCACAGCTCCCCCCGCCCCACAGCTCCCCCCGCCCCACAGCTGCCCCCGCCGTGCCCCCTTGACGCCTCGGCTGAGCTCCGTTGGTTTCAGTCCCTCACACACTAGGACCAGAGCGAAGGGAGCAGACGGGTGTGGGCCAGGAAGGTGGCCACAGGGACCAGGCTGGAGTCGGGGTGTGACGGGCGGGAGGGGTCCCTCTGCCCACGGTGCCCGAGGTGGGCAGCCCCCGGGAGTCAGACTCATCTGTGAACTGAAGGAGAACACCGACCTCGTAGATGGGGCTGGAGGGCGGCCTCTCCTGGGCCGGCTGTGGGGTGGGGGACGCGGGCGGGCTTGGCCTCTGGGCTCTGGCCTGCTCCTGGAGGGGAAGAAGCTGCGGTCAGAGCCAGGTCACCCCCATGACCAGTGGGACCCCGGACGGTCACCGGACCTGACGCGGTCACCCCAGAGGGAGGAGCAGTTCGGGGCGAGTCTGTTTGTGGCGAAGGCCCTGAGCCCTCCGGCAGCCACCGCATGGACCTGCGGCGGGACTGTCACCGGGGCCTCCGAGCCCCCCCACACCCAGGGCACGTGACTCACACGGCGAGGTGGGGGCTCTGGGCTAACGCTGTAAGCTCTAACGACCTGAGACTTTCGGGGACTTTAAAATGGGGTGGATATATTTTGCACGTAATGGACATGAGTCCTGGGGGGCCCGAGGTGGGCTGTGGCGACAAAGCCCCTCAAAGACGTTGACGTCCAATCCCAGATCCTCCCTTCCAGGTGGGGAGGCCAGGCGGGGGCCTCCTGGGCTCCCGGCTGGGCTGGGCCACCTGACCCGGGCCTGGCTGAGGCCGCAGGGCAGGGGCCCACGAGGACCCGCGACGGCAAAGCCAGGCTGGAAGGGGCCCCGAGCAGGACGGCGGGCACCTCGGGGGCTGGGAGAGGCCAGGGAACAGGCGGACGGTCCCTGAGCCCCCAGGAACTGCCTCCTGTCAGAGCCGTCGGGACAAGTGCCGGCTGTCACTTCACAGCGGCACAGGAAGCAGGCTCAGAGCAGGGGACACACGCCAGGGAGCGTCTCCCGCCAGGCTCCTCTCTAGGGGGCTGGGGTCACGCTCCCTCGTACAGACAGCGTCCCCTGGGGCTCTGTCTGGCCAGCACCCGCCGGCGACTCAAACCCCACGTCACGCAGACCCGTCACGGGTTTGCGACCTGGGCGGGAGCTTCCTTTTCCCGCAGCAACACAACCAGCTGAGCTACAGGCATCTCGGCCACACTGCGCCTCGCTCACACGGGAGCCGAGGCCCATGCGCGAAGCCCGCGTCTGCCCGGTTTCCTGACCGAGGAAGGGGGGCTGGGCCGGGGTAAGCGAGGGCTCCCAGGAGGCTGCGGGCTCACGTCTGTGTCACTTCACAAGGGACTGTTGTGGTCCCCGCTCCGGCCGAGGGTACAGAGAAACCCCTCGCCACAGGCCTGCCGTCCCGCCACGTGCATCTGGGCGCGAGTCTCCACGGGGGGCGGCCGGGAGGCTGTGCGGGGCTGTGCAGGCTGAGAACCGCTCCCCGGGAGGCCCCGAGGGGCTGGACAAGGACACAGCAGGGCGACGAGAGGACCTCAGGGAAGAGGCGGTCAGGAGGACGGGCCTCCCCGCGGGAACCGCACGCACCTCCAGCTGCCGGCGGGCCTCCTCCTGCTCCCGCCGCTCGGTGGCCAGCCTCTGCGCTCGGTCCGCCCTCCGCCGGTCCTCCTGCTCCTCCTGCTCCCTCGACAGGTTCTCGAAGTTGGCTCTGATGTTGCTGGTCTTGCTGGTGGCTACAGAGGGGGGGGGAGACATTTCCTCCGACGTCACACACCAGCGCCCGGGACGAGCAGAGTCCCCCACAGGGTGACCATCCCGTGGAAACCGGGCAGCCGTGAACAGACCGGCCAGCTCGCCCGCCCCAAGAACCAGGGGGCACCTCGTGTCCACAGCACAGACGACACCACGAGCCCCACATCCGGCCTGTTTATGTCCCAGACGACACCGTGTTCTCTACCACGCGGGGGAGACCCAGTTCCCCAAGAGGTGTCTGGGGGCGCCCGTCTCTTCCTGGGGGGTGACGGGGAGGCGCGCACACTGCACTGCCCCACGGGAGGCCCGGGGGCCTTGGGGAGACGCACGGCAGACCGAGCGACAAGGCGGGCTCACTGGCACGCAGGTTTGGGGTACAGTGGGCATTTCCTCCAAACGAACAGCCTCCCAGCCCGGCCAGGGTGGCTCAGGGGACTGGCGTGTCCCATGGACTGAGAGGTTCCGGTTCGAATCCCAGTCAGGGCACGTGGCCGGGCTGTGGACTCCGTGCAGGAGGCAGCCGGTGGGTGTTGGGTTCTCACACTGATGTCCCTCCTCTCTTTCCCTTCCCCTCTCTCTCAAATAACCAACAAGAACACATCTGGCCCTGGCCGGTTTGGCTCAGCGGTTAGAGCATCGGCCTGCGGTCCAGAGAGACCCGGGTTCGGTTCCCGCTAAGGGCACGTACCTTGGTTGTAGTTTGTCCCCGGCCCTGGTTGGTCATGCGGGTGGCAGCCACTCGATGTGTCCCTTCACATCGATGTTTCTCTCTCTCTCTCCCGCTCTATCTGAACAAAAAATGGAAAAATGTCCTCGGGTGAGGATAAAAAAAATTTTAAAAAAGAACACATCTGGAAAACAAGGAACAGCCAAGGGATCTGCTGTCGACGGGAACATTCAAGTTTGCTGGACAACGGTACCCACTACCGAGAGCCGGACAGTCCCCCAACTGTCCTTGAAGGCTGGGTGACACCGCTGGCCACCGGGCACTGCTCAGGGACGTGGACTTCAGCGTTTGAAGACCAGCGCAGGGGTACCGTCAGGACGGCGAGGGCCCTGCCGGGGGGGCACCCAGACCATGCACAGCGACCGCGCGGGAGCCCCGATGGCCGCGGGGGGGGGGGGTGTCTCAGTCCGACAGTGAGAAGGCTCAGATGGAAAACGAGGCCACCCCCTGCACTTCCTGTTTTGTAGTTATTTTCGCATGAAAAGAACTAATGCGTGATGGTTTTATCATTTTAAAAGTAAATAAGAAAATAAATTTCCTGTTCACGTTCTAACCAGCTGAGAGCTAGAGGTGCCGAGGCGGCGTGCACAGTCCACGCCAGGACACTCCGCTCCCTGGTTCCAGCTGACCACGTCCTGCGTCTCCCCCACGGCCCGGCGCTCGGGGGCGAGGCCCTTGGACCGGACGCTGCCCCACACACCCCTGGACACAGGCCGCCTGCCACAGTCACCTCAGTGGACAGACCTGCGGGCCTGTCCGGGGCCACACGGGAGAGGCCCGTGTCCACTGCTCACGCCGGCACATCTTGGCCAAGGCTCGCTGGGCGGCCGGGCTGCAGAACCGGGTCCCCCAGAGCCTGTCCTGCGGTGAGGCGGCCCCTGAGCACGGGCTGTTCGCCCAGCTCCTCAGGGAAGGGAGGCAGATGCCCACTGCCAGGGGCCGCCACGGACTGTCCGAGAGGTGCCTGGCCTCCGTGGACACCGTCAGGGGTGACATTGACCCCGAGACGCACAGACAGCCCGCTCTCGCCCGCCCTCCCCTTGCTCCAGCCCCCACGGCGCCCACTGACCTGCTTCCACGGGGACCGTCTTCTGGTACGTGGAGGGCACCTTGGTGACGTCCTCGAAGGGGGAGGCATTCTGCCGAGAAGGAACAGGAGGTGAGCGGGCGCGGTCCCTCCTGCCCGGTGCGTCCCCTCTGCTCACTCCACGGCCTCCCTGGTCCCAACCAGCCCGGAGCCCGGGCTCCACGTCCTGTCTGCCCACAGGTGGCCGAGGCGCGGAGAGTGTTCCGAGATGCGTGCAGGCGATGCCACACGTCAGGGTCAGAATAAAAACCCACCTGGGGGTGAGGGGGGCACCGAGGGTGCCAGGGCAGTGACCACTCTGTGGGCATCATGATGGGGACACACATCTGTCAGGCCACTGAGTGGACAACACTGAGACCTGGGTAGTCCGTGCAGCCTCCTGAGCCTCAGGCTCAAGGGCTCAGCGGGGGAGGGGAGAGCGTGGGGGGAGGGGGAGGGGGCAGCACAGCCGGCCTGCAGGGTAAGGAGGACGCTCACTGTCCTCACCGTGAACAGAACCACAACCCCGGCGCCCACAGGCTCCCCGCCTCCTGCCGCACAAGCCCCAGGTGACGGCTGTGAGCCCGATGGGAGCGGAACCCCCTGGGGACCAGCTCTGCCGCTCGGGACCAGGACAGCCACCTGGGCTCTGGGTCGGATCGGCAAGGACAAGCCCCGCGGAGGAGTTGGGGGGAGGGGGGACATGCGTGTTCCCATGGGAACAGCTGAAGGGCAGCCTGGATGTAGCTGGACACTGTCTGAGGACCTCATCCCTGCCATGCGTGCTCGCGGTCTGCATGTCCCCAGGGGACAGCCAGGTCGTGGGTGGGGCTGGGCTCTCGTCACGTGGCCATGTGACCACAAAACTGTCTCCGATCTGGCTTACTAACTACTTTAGGTTCCAGCAGCCACGGGTCCCGGAGGCCCCCACGTGACCCTTGGTCTAAATGCCGACAGACGGCTCGAGGACAGCACAGGCCTCAGCACCATCGGGAGGGCCCAGGGAGGAGCCACACCACGGGGCCTGGCCACGTGTCAGCCACAACCCGACAGCGTCCGCACCACACCAGCCAGCACCCACCGCAGACCACGCACAGGACAGTGCCTCCACGCCGAGCGAGCCACGCATTCCCGAACCTGCCGGCACCCCGGACAGGACACTCACCTTGTCCATGCGGTCCTTCTGCACCCCGTACTTCCCGCCGAATCCTTTGGAGTAGTCTGAAAGGGGACATAGCATCACTCCTGGGGCAGGACAGGGTGGGGCCCGCAGCAGCCACTGCGGACAGGCCCAGAAACAGCCGAGGGCGCACACCCAGCGGCCGGAAACCAGAAGCACCCGCTGTGCCCCTGCCAGGGCCGCTCAGGCAGGGAGGCGGAGCCGCAGCGTCGGCCCGGGACGCAGCGCCGCTCTCCGCTGCAGGACTTCGCCGCCCGCCCCGCCCCGCCCCGCCCCGCCCTCTGCAAGCCCTGAGCAGCTCCGCCACGGGCTGCTTCTTGCTTTCTAGAAGAAACCCATGAAGAGGTTCCACCAGCCAAAGACCACGTGACAGTCACACCGTCACGCAGAGCCACGGCCGCCGCCCTGGGGTTGCGGTGTCGACTCGGGCGTGTCCTCCTCCCCCCCAGCTGCCACGGTCTCCACACCGAGACCCACGGCCTCGGCCGCCCTGCAAACTGAGGGTTGGACGCACTTTCCAATCAGGTGCCAGGTTCTGAAACCCAAGTGCGGGTTTTGATGGTGAGAAACTCCTGCCACTCGGACAACCGCCCTGCACCCCAGAAACACCCCATGTCCTTCAGCGGTGTGTGCACTGCCAGGCTCTGGGGGTGACACAGAGGTGGTGCCTTCCAAAACCAAAACACAAAACAGCTCCCGTGGCAGCTGAACCAGCACACACGGAACGCAGAGCCCACAGGGCACGCCTGCCCCAGGCCCCTCGCCGCCCGGAGGCCAATGCCCGGATGGACCAGGCCACGGTCCAAACGGGCTGGGAGCCACGTGTGCACACTCCACGCTCCCGGGTCTTTCCAGGGCCCGACCGAAGCTGCCGGGCGGAGGACATGTCTCGGCTGAGAGACAGATGCTACCGCAGCCTCGTGCAGCGTCACCAGCCCGCTCGGCGGCTGGCTGACGGGTGCGGGACGTCTGGCTCGCTGCTCCTGGGACGGCTTCGCTCTGAGCGGAAAACCCTCCAGGAAGGGGAGGTGAGCCCTTTCGCAAACCGGGGCGCCCTCGATCGCCAAGCAGTCACGGTGGGCACTGTGGCCCCTTTGGCAGCACCGCCAGCGCCGAACACAGCACCCCAAAAAGCCATGGGCGACGACCGTGCAGGAGCAGAAGGTCTATCACTACGCGGCTGAGGTTTTCCCAGAACTGGGGGGGCAGAGGGACAACCCAGCAGCGAAGACAAAGCACAGAAACACGGCGAGAACACGGCGCGGCTGACGCGTGGCCTGAGACCCGCCAGCCCGGACCCACCTTTCTGGGAGTCGTGCAGCTGCGACTTCTCCTGGTGGTCCCAGCCCAGCGCACACTTGTCCTGTCTGTCCGTCTGCACGCCGAACTTCCCCCCGAAGCCTTTCACGTAGTCTGCACACGAGGCGAGCAGGGTCAGCGCACGGCCGGGGGGCAGCGGCTGCCCCCACCCTGCCCCCGCCCTGCCCCCGCCTCCCAGGCCAGACTCCGGGCGGCGCGAGGCTCCTGGGCCGGACCTGTGATCTCAGCTCCGTGAGGAGCACAGAAGACCCACAGGAGATGCTCAGGCTGACACCCCCACGGTGTCGCCACTCAGACAGACGTCGACCACGGCCGTGGCCACGGAGACGCCCTGGGGTGTGGGAGCCCCGGCGAGGGCCTGATGCCTGTCGGCGGGCCTGCCGCTCCCACGCTGGGTGTTCACGGCACAGGCGCCCGCCCTGGGGCGTGGCGAGGCCCGGCCCGCCCCCACTCTGGCCGACCCACGCGGGGCACAGGCCAGCCCACCTGTCTGGGACTCGTGTTTCTCCGTCTTGCCCTGGTAGTCGAAGCCCACGGCGCTCTCGTCCACCTTGTCCTTCTCGATGCCGTACCTTCCCCCGAAGCCTCTGCAGTAGTCTGCAACAGGGAAGGCCGCTCACACCCGCACGACGCCGGGCCCCAGGCCCTCTGTCCCCTGCGAGCGGGCGGGCCCCAGGTCCCACGGGCGGCACGCGTCCGTCGGCCTGTCCTCCGCCCCCTCGTGAAGCACGCAGGGAAGGACGTGTGCTGGGAGCTCCCAAGACCGGGCTGCGGGGACAGGCGGCAGGGGCGCAGGCGCCTCCGAGAACAGGGTCCACCGGGTGCCCCCAGCTCACCACCCAGTCATCCAGCAGCCACGTCCACAGAGGCACACGGTGCCACGCACACGTGGATGGGTGGGACGCAGAGCTCAAAGCCCCCCAGCACGGGGACGCCCCCAACATGCCACAGGCCCTGCGCTGTTCAGGGAGAGTCTCCGGCCCTGGTGGGGCGGATCAGCTCGTCCCGGCCCGCAGTGCGCACGCCGGGCCCGGAGCCCGGAGCCCGGAGCCCGGAGCCCGGCCCCGGGAGGATGGAGAGGGGCGGGCAGGCCGAGCTGCCAGCGGGCGAGAAGGGCCCAGCAGCCGAGGGCCCAGCAGCCCGCCGGCCGGTGCCCAAGAGAAGCCAGTGGGTGTGTTTCCCGGGCTGGTAGTTTTACTTTCTAAGACAAAATTAGGTTTTTTAAAAATGTGACTCTCAGTTTTTAAATGTTGGCGATTGTTTTAAAGATGCAGTCGCGTTGCCCGGCTGGTGTGGCTCAGTGGCTGAGCGTCCACCCTGCACCAGGAGGTCGCCGGTTCGATTCCCGGTCAGAACACGTGTCCAGGTTGTGGGCTGATCCCCAGTGGGGGGCGTGCAGGAGGCGGCCAGTCGATGTTCTCTCTCATCGATGTTTCTCTCTCTCCCTCTCTCTCTAAAGTCAATAAAAAAACCACTTTTTAAACTGAGACCTGCAGGTGAACATAAATGCTGCACAGGACCCGCCGGCAGGAGCCCTGGGGGGTGAGCCTCTCGGCCCGCACGGCACAGCCCTGGGAGTCCTGACCGAGGTCCCTGACCCTGGGGGCCCGGGGTAGGGCTGTCAGCATCTTGCAGTCACCGTCCCTGCACCAGCAACCCCACCTCTCGGACGTGCTCCTGATCCAGGGGTGAAGCACTCACTGCGGTCGATTCTCAACATTGAAAACCAGAAACACCCCGTCCACCCTCAAAGCGGGCAGATTAAACAGATCGCGGAGTCGCCACCGGACGCGACCAAGCGTCAGGAAGCCGTGACCAACCGGCCCCTGACCTGGACAGAACGAGGCTGCCAACCCCCCACCGAGCCCTGTGCGTGCAGCGCCCTGGGGGGGCCTCCCTGGTGTCTCTGTGGGGGGAGAGGCAGGGACAGCCCTGCGCCCCATGCCCCGCCGAGGGTGACGCCCACCTTTCTGGGACTCATGTTTCTCCGTCTTGCCCTGGTAGTCGAAGCCCACGGCGCTCTTGTCCACGCGGTCGGCCTGCACGCCGTACTTGCCACCGAAGCCGCTCGAGTAGTCTGAGGAGACAGGGTGCCGGGGCGGGCACCGGGCTCTGGTCTCAGGGTCGGGACCGGGCCCAGGGCACGTCTCAAACGCTCCAGACATCGCCCGTCACAGGAGAGGCGCCGAGTGGCCCTGGACTCCAGCCCAGGAAGCCCGGCGCCCACCCCGTCGCCCGCGGAGCTCACACCGGGCGCTGGTGGCACACGCGAGGCAGGAGGACCTGCGCACACACCGCCAGCGCTGAGGACACGACTCGCTTGCGTTTTAAATAAATAAAGGCCTCCTGCCCCGGCCGCTGGGCACAGCTCAGCGCTGTCAGCCTGGGCACCGCAGGGTCACGGGTTCGATTCCCGGTCATGGGCACATACCTGGGTTTCAGGTTGAACCCCGGCCCCGGTTGGGGTCGTGCAGGAGGCAATCGACGTGTGTCTATCACATCGATGATTCTCTCTCCCCCTCTCTCTCTAAACATCAGTGGAAAAACGCCCTCAGTGAGGACGAAGTAAACAAACAAACGTAGTGACAGGCTCTGGGATGAGCAGCCCGCATCCGGCATGAACGGCGTCAGGGCCGGGCCACCCGGAGGGAGTCTGCACCCCGCCCACAGCCACACAGCTTCTGGGGCTGCGCTGCTGGGGCGCAGGGCCCGAGGGAGGCCCCAGGACGGGGGTGCCAGGGCCCGCTGCTGCAGGGGGACCGCCTGTCACGCAGCACCCCTCGGTTCGCCCCGTGGTGAGGACACCCCAGGCCGCCTGGTCTCCGGCTCACCTTTCTGGGAAGCGTGCTTCTCCGTCTTGCCCTGGTACTCAAAGCCCACGGCGGACTGCGGGCCGAGAGAGAGAAACGCATTTTTAAATGCCTCCGAAACGGTTCCTCTGAATCCACAAAACGTAAGACGTTTTTCAAGTCCTCAGGCACCTCCGAGGCAGGGGGCCTCCCTGTGACCCCCAGAGGCCGAGGGCACCGCACCTCCGAGGCAGGGGGCCTCCCTGTGACCCCCAGAGGCCGAGGGCACCGCACCTCCGAGGCAGGGGGCCTCCCTGTGACCCCGAGAGGCCGAGGGCACCGCACCTCCGAGGCAGGGGCCTCCCTGTGACCCCCAGAGGCCGAGGGCACCGCACCTCCGAGGCAGGGGGCCTCCCTGTGACCCCCAGAGGCCGAGGGCACCGCACCTCCGAGGCAGGGGGCCTCCCTGTGACCCCCAGAGGCCGAGGGCACCCCGTGGACCTGGCAGCGAGCGCTGATCTAGAGGGACCCGTCCCCTCCCCCTCCCTGGCTCCCACCACACCCCCTCACCTGGTCCACTCTGTCCACCTGGACACCAAACTTGCCCCCGAAGCCCCGGGCGGCGTCCACCTGCGAGCAGTGCTTGGAGAGGCTGGACTGGTAGCCGTGGCCAACAGCTGACTGGGGTGGAGAAGAGCACATCTCAGAGGCCCCCACGCAGGGTCGCGGGGCAGCCCGGGCGTCCCGGAGAACCCCGGGCAGGGGCAGCCTCTGACCCCACGGGCCGTGAAGGGATTGGGGCCGACGCCGGTCCGGGGACTGTGCCGAGGGCTGCGGGCCTGTGGGACCTGCCACCACGGGACTCCTCTCGGGGTGAGAGCTGGTCCCCGAGCTGTCCGGGGACCACGGCCACCGCGGCCAGAGGGGGCAGCTCTGAGCACCCACGAGGCCATCACGGGGCCAGGCCAGAGGCAACGGGAGGACGCGGCCCAGCCCCCCAGAGCCTCGTGGAACGGACAGCGCAGCCTGGCAGCAGGGGGGCCCAGCGGTCTCCCCAAAGCAGGAGGGGATCCAGAGACGGCGCCTGCTCCATCAGCTTTGCTCCCCAACACTGCTTCCCCACCAGGGCTGGGGCCCCCATTTCTCACAAAGTTTTCTTTGCTCCGAGCCCCACAACCCGGTGAGGAAGGACAGGCCCACCCCCTCGGATCTCCCACCCCCCGGGGCTCGCGGGCTTATCTGCTGAAGCCGCCCGCCGTGACCCGGGGCCCAGAGCCGACCCGGCGCCCCGCCTGCAGCATCAAAGTGACAGCCCCCCGCCGGGGCCCTGCCGCTTCCTGCAGCCTGCTTCCTGCGACTCCAGCTCAGGGCTAATTCTGGACGTGGTTTGGGCGCCCACAGCCCCCACGTATCTGCTCTGCGGGGACAGAGGCGGCACCAATGCACCGTGCACACCAAACCCGAGCCCAGCGCAGCACAGGCGGGAATTTCAGAGCGGAACCCGACACCGCCGCCCTCACTGCAGACGCGGCAGGTGGACCTCCAGGTCCCGGCTCAGGTTGCTCAGGCCAGTGTCAGAGCCGCCGACCAGGCAGGAGCCCGGCAGCCGCCCTGCGCTCTCCACAGCACACTGGCCTGAGCCGCCCACGCCCGGCGCTGGCTGCGCTGATGCGGTCACTCGGCACAGCCCTCACTGTGGCCTGGCACTGCCCGCCCTCGGCTCTCAAAGGGAGTGTCCTCCCCAGCCCGGCGGGCAGGGACTTCATGCCGGGGGCCAGTCCACTCTCTGACGGTCACTACCAGCTGTATTTTCACCTGTGACGTGAACAGGGACCCTCGGGTCTGGTTTGGGTATATGTCTTGTCCCGTGCGGTACGATTTAGGCTGCACGAGGAACTACGGGCGTCCTGAGACTCTACATGCTGTCTGGTTGCAGGGCCGAGCTCCCTGCCCTCACCTGCAGCCTCCCTGGGCCTCTGCCCGGGCCCTGGCCCCTCACCTGCAGCCTCCCTGGGCCTCTGCCCGGGCCCTGGCCCCTCAGCCTGCAGCCTCCCTGGGCCTCTGCCCGGGGCCCTGGCCCCTCACCTGCAGCCTCCCTGGGCCTCTGCCCGGGCCCTGGCCCCTCACCTGCAGCCTCCCTGGGCCTCTGCCCGGGCCCTGGCCCCTCACCTGCAGCCTACCTGGGCCTCTACCCAGGCCCTGGCCCCTCAGCCTGCAGCCTCCCTGGGCCTCTGCCCGGGGCCCTGGCCCCTCACCTGCAGCCTCCCTGGGCCTCTGCCCGGGCCCTGGCCCCTCACCTGCAGCCTACCTGGGCCTCTACCCGGGCCCTGGCCCCTCACCTGCAGCCTACCTGGGCCTCTACCCAGGCCCTGGCCCCTCACCTGCAGCCTACCTGGGCCTCTACCCAGGCCCTGGCCCCTCAGCCTGCAGCCTCCCTGGGCCTCTGCCCGGGGCCCTGGCCCCTCACCTGCAGCCACCCTGGGCCTCTGCCCGGGCCCTGGCCCCTCACCTGCAGCCTCCCTGGGCCTCTGCCCGGGCCCTGGCCCCTCAGCCTACAGCCTCCCTGGGCCTCTGCCCGGGCCCTGGCTCCTCACCTGCAGCCTCCCTGGGCCTCTGCCCGGGGCCCTGGCCCCTCACCTGCAGCCTCCCTGGGCCTCTGCCCGGGCCCTGGCCCCTCAGCCTGCAGCCTCCCTGGGCCTCTGCCCGGGCCCTGGCCCCTCACCTGCAGCCTCCCTGGGCCTCTGCCCGGGCCCTGGCCCCTCAGCCTGCAGCCTCCCTGGGCCTCTGCCCGGGCCCTGGCCCCTCACCTGCAGCCTCCCTGGGCCTCTGCCCGGGCCCTGGCCCCTCACCTGCAGCCTCCCTGGGCCTCTGCCCGGGCCCTGGCCCCTCACCTGCAGCCACCCTGGGCCTCTGCCCGGGCCCGGGCCCTCACTGCCCTGGCTCAGCCTGCAGCCTCCCTGGGCCTCTGCCCGGGCCCTGGCCCCTCAGCCTGCAGCCTCCCTGGGCCTCTGCCCGGGCCCTGGCCCCTCACCTGCAGCCTCCCTGGGCCTCTGCCCGGGCCCTGGCCCCTCAGCCTGCAGCCTCCCTGGGCCTCTGCCCGGGCCCTGGCCCCTCACCTGCAGCCTCCCTGGGCCTCTGCCCGGGCCCTGGCCCCTCACCTGCAGCCACCCTGGGCCTCTGCCCGGGCCCTGGCCCCTCACCTGCAGCCTCCCTGGGCCTCTGCCCGGGCCCTGGCCCCTCACCTGCAGCCTCCCTGGGCCTCTGCCCGGGCCCTGGCCCCTCAGCCTGCAGCCTCCCTGGGCCTCTGCCCGGGGCCCTGGCCCCTCACCTGCAGCCTCCCGACTCTTACGAGCATCGACAGTGGGAGCATTTCCAGCCAATCAACGGAGACCGCTTTTGGCAAACCTCATCCTCAACCAACCGACTCAGAACGTGACCGGACGACCAGGTGTGAGGGGTGAGAGGTCAGCAGGCCCCGCGTTGGTGCGGTGGCCACGCACGCACCTTGTCCATGCGGTCCTGCTCCACGCCAAACTTCCCGCCGTAGCCATGCGAGGCCTTGGGTCCCGTCTCCAGCTCCTTCTGCCTGAGGCTCTGGTGCTCCTGGCACACGTGCTCCCTCAGCTTGTGTATGCTGGACGGGGACAGGGCAGAGCGTCCGGCAGGTGCGCGTCTCCCACCCCGGCACACGCCGCACAGGACACCGCGTCCCGGCGCCCGCCCTCCCTGCGCTCTCCGGACGGCTCTGCCCCGGCCCGAGCGCCCCATGGTTCCCGAGTCACACGAGACCTGAACCCACACAGCGCCCCCACCCGCCGCGTGGCCGCCTGGACGGGGGAGCTCCCCTGGTTTGTCACAGGAGACTCGGGGTCTCACTGCACAGCTGAGCGAGGCCAGCTGTGCGCACTCGGCCCGCCCCTGCAGCACCCGCTGTTTCCATTCTTGGGGGCGCCATGAAGGGCGGTCAGCATTGCCGTGTACAGGCCTCGTCCAGACACATCAGGGACAGGAAATCGGGTCACAGGCTGCGGTCAAAGCCGGCAGGCCAGGACCCGTGGCTGCTGCACTGTGGGGAGGCCCGAGGCCCGAGGTGCCGCCTGAGCACCTCTGAGAAGGGACACCTCCCAGGGGAACCAGCCCCGGAGGCTCCTGCCGCGTCGGGAACGGCCACAGGCCGCTCGGTTCTGATTCTGCACTTTCCATGAGTGCGCAAGGCTTAGGGCTCCGCGCACGGCACCCGCTGGACAGCGGTCAGTAACAGTTACAGGTCCGGTCACCAAGGAGGTGCTCTCGGACCTTCGTCAGCAGCCCGCATCCGCCCAGGCGCTCGGGCCAGGGTGCGCCTCAGAAACCGTAGCACTGACCGGGGCTCTGCAGAGCTGAAGGGACCACCCGTCCACACACACAGGGACAGGCACACGGACAGGCACACGGACACGCACACGGACACGCACACGGACAGGCACATGGACACACGTCACATCTCACACTCGCCCCTTCCAGAGCCACCGGCCACGAGATGCAGGCAGCTGGCCCGCGGGCCCGGCAGACAGACACCGCCGCGCCCCGGCTCCGGGGCCCTTACTCGATGTGCTCCTGGTGCCCGGACCCCTGCACGGTCTTCGCACCCCACCTCTGCTCCTTCTCGCTCACGTCGTTCTGAAAGGAGGAGTCGGGCCGCGTCACTCCCGCGGGGCTGGGAACACACACCGACCACCACCCGCACGGAGAGAAGCCTGGGGCAGAGGGGACTCACCACGAAGTCGGGGTCGGTCTCCCAGTCGTCGGCACCGCCGTCGTCCTGGGCAATGGACACGGTGTGGCCCGCCGAGGCCTTCCACATCTGCGGGCAGAGCGGGCGGGCCTGAGAGCTGGCAGGAGCCACACACTCTGCCCGGAACTGCCCCAGCCCAGGGACAGGGGGTCTGGGGGCAACGACCGAAAGGGCCCCGAAGGCCACAGCACGGAGGACGTCAGCAGCCTCAGAGACACTCAGACACCCTGGTCTCGGCCCTGAGAACACGGGAGCCTAAGTCACGGGCACACGTCCTCCCCTCCCGGGGCGCGGCTCCGTCCTCCCCGCCTTTGCCGTCCAACTGTGACGTGCTGGATGTCACCAGGGTGACATGGGCACGAGCAGGGCTTTTATCACAATGTAAAACAGAGAGCGCCCACTTTGAGTTTAACGTCACAGGGATCGCAGGGGCGTGAACTCCACGCGCAGGTCCAGGGGCGATTCGAGCAGGGGCTATGAGCCCTGCGGGACGCCAGCTCCCACCTGGAGCTCCAGCCACTGAGGACGTGGTCAGACCGAAGGACCAGGGGCCGCTCCCCGCTGAGGCGAAGGGGAGAGAGAGGGCTTTGCCTGGTACTTTTCAAGCTTAACTGCCACGGATCTTTCTGGAAGCCAGCCTCACTAGCGGGCAGGTCCCTACGGGTCACGCCTCGTGGCCCCTCTCACCTCCCGGAGCAGGAGAAGAGGCAGATGGCCTCCTGTCCCTCCGCTGTCCCGCTGTCTGCAATCCCCTCCCTTCTAACTCACAGGCTACCGGGATGTGACTTTACTGTTTAAATAAGGAAATTCTGGAGAACGGTTGTCCACCCTCTGCAATCCTGACGCAGATCAGTGCTCCCAGTCCTGGGACAGGCTCACCCGACCGTCCCGGGACGGGTCTGCCTGATCCCCGAGAACAGGATCCACCCGTCGGGGGGCAGGGTCCACCCGACCGTCCCGGGGAGCAGGGTCCGCCCGATCGTCCCGGGGGGGCAGGGTCCGCCCGATCGTCCCGGGGGGGCAGGGTCCGCCCGATCGTCCCGGGGGGGCAGGGTCCGCCCGATCGTCCCGGGGGGGCAGTGTCCGCCCAACCGTCCGGGGGGCAGGCAGCAGTGGGCACGATGGACACACCTTTCCTTCTGGTGGGAGACGGAGAGCTGCTCAGACTTCCGAAGACGATGGTCACCGAGGGGCCCCCGGCATCTGACGACGATCCGTCTGCAAGATCATGGAGAAGAGCTCAGAGGGTCTCTGTGGGCAGGCGCTCTGGGCAAATACCTCTGAAATCCTCCCAAATCATGAGGTTTGGTTTTGGGTTTTTTTTTTAAAGAATATTTTATTAATTTTTTAAGCGAGGAAGGGAAATGAAGAGAAACATCCATCTGCTGCCTCCTGCACACCCCCCACTGGGGATTCAGCCCGCAACCCAGGCATGTGCCCCTTCCAGGAATCGAATAGACAAACTCCTGGTGCAGGGTTGATGCCCAAACCACTGAGCCACACCAGCCGGCACAACAAAGTTTTACACAGAAACCTCAGAGGAAGATGAAAAGATCAGCACTTTACTAACCACAGAGCTGGACTGCTCCTAAGACAGCCTGCGAAACTACAGAAAGGGGCCGCTTCCAAAGCTGTGCGACCGTCTGTCCTTCCTGCAGAGCTGTGCGGCTGTGTGTGTTCTTGCAAAGCTGTGCACTGGGAGTGTGTCCTCCCTGCAAAGCTGTGCGGCTGCGTGTGTCCTCCCTGCACAGCTGTGCGGCTGTGTGTGTTCTTGCAAAGCTGTGCGGCTGTGTGTGTTCTCCCTGCACAGCTGTGCGGCTGTGTGTGTTCTTGCAAAGCTGTGCACTGGGAGTGTGTGTCCTTCCTGCAAAGCTGTGCGGCTGTGTGTGTTCTCCCTGCACAGCTGTGCGGCTGTGTGTGTTCTTGCAAAGCTGTGCACTGGGAGTGTGTGTCCTTCCTGCACAGCTGTGCGGCTGTGTGTGTCCTTCCTGCACAGCTGTGCGGCTGTGTGTCCTTCCTGCAAAGCTGTGCGGCTGTGTGTCCTTCCTGCACAGCTGTGCGGCTGTGTGTGTCCTTCCTGCAAAGCTGTGCGGCTGTGTGTGTTCTCCCTGCACAGCTGTGCGGCTGTGTGTGTCCTCCCTGCACAGCTGTGCGGCTGTGTGTGTCCTCCCTGCAAAGCTGTGCGGCTGTGTGTGTCCTCCCTGCAAAGCTGTGCGGCTGTGTGTGTCCTCCCTGCAAAGCTGTGCGGCTGTGTGTGTCCTCCGTGCAAAGCTGTGCGGCTGTGTGTGTCCTCCCTGCACAGCTGTGCGGCTGTGTGTGTCCTCCCTGCAAAGCTGTGCGGCTGTGTGTGTCCTCCCTGCACAGCTGTGCGGCTGTGTGTGTCCTCCCTGCACAGCTGTGCGGCTGTGTGTGTCCTCCCTGCAAAGCTGTGCGGCTGTGTGTGTCCTCCCTGCACAGCTGTGCGGCTGTGTGTGTTCTCCGTGCACAGCTGTGCGGCTGTGTGTGTCCTTCCTGCAAAGCTGTGCGGCTGTGTGTGTCCTTCCTGCACAGCTGTGCGGCTGTGTGTGTTCTCCCTGCACAGCTGTGCGGCTGTGTGTGTTCTCCCTGCACAGCTGTGCGGCTGTGTGTGTCCTCCCTGCACAGCTGTGCGGCTGTGTGTGTCCTCCCTGCAAAGCTGTGCGGCTGTGTGTGTTCTCCGTGCAAAGCTGTGCGGCTGTGTGTGTTCTCCCTGCAAAGCTGTGCGGCTGTGTGTGTTCTCCCTGCAAAGCTGTGCGGCTGTGTGTGTTCTCCCTGCACAGCTGTGCGGCTGTGTGTGTTCTCCCTGCAGAGCTGTGTGGCTGGGAGTGTGTGTTCTCCCTGCAAAGCTGTGCGGCTGTGTGTGTTCTCCCTGCAAAGCTGTGCGCCTGTGTGTGTTCTCCCTGCAAAGCTGTGCGGCTGTGTGTGTCCTCCCTGCACAGCTGTGCGGCTGTGTGTGTCCTCCCTGCACAGCTGTGAGGCTGTGTGTGTTCTCCCTGCAAAGCTGTGCGGCTGTGTGTGTCCTCCCTGCACAGCTGTGCGGCTGTGTGTGTTCTCCCTGCAAAGCTGTGCGGCTGTGTGTGTTCTCCCTGCAAAGCTGTGCGGCTGTGTGTGTCCTCCCTGCACAGCTGTGCGGCTGTGTGTGTCCTCCCTGCACAGCTGTGAGGCTGTGTGTGTCCTTCCTGCAGAGCTGTGTGGCTGAGAGTGTGTGTTCTCCCTGCACAGCTGTGCGGCTGTGTCCTTCCTGCAGAGCGGTGCGCTGGAGTGATCCTGCACAGCGATCATGCCACCCCCATGGCTCACACACAGCTCCTGCTCCCTAACATCCTGGGAGGCTTCCATGTTTTGTTCCCTCAAATTGATGACATTGCTAAAAATAATAGTTCTATCACTGTGAGTTTTTAAAATAATAATGTAAGAAGACAGTCCCTGAAAGGGTCCTACGTGGAGGTGGCTGGGAGAACCAGCGGCATGACAGCCACAGGGACTCAGAGTGGGGTGACGGGCGCACAGAGCCGGCTGCGTTTCCAACACAGGGATCTGGTTACTGCAAGCTCGGGCTCAGGCTCCCAGGTCACCCTCACCGCCTTTCCCGTGGGCTGCGCACAGCCTCCCGGGGCACCGCAGGGCTGGACGGTACAGAGCCGATGACTAACAGCCCCCGGTTCCCAGGAACAAGCCAGTCACAGGCAGCTCATCATACACTGGCCACAACAGGAATGGCCCTGGGGCCTTCCCTACGCTCCCCTTCCTGCCTCGTTCCTGACCCTACGCTTCACCCCTTCTTCCTCCCAGCCCCCTGTAAAAGGTGACCTGGTGCGGGTGGCTCAGCACAGCAGGCACTGCGGGGACCACTGTCCACCATCTACACACCTCCACCCAGGAGCCATGCACACAGGCTCAGCTCTACACTAACTTCTTACCCCACAACACTTAAATTTAAAAATAAAACCACAAAAATAACTGAAATATCAAAACCTTGGCTACTTTTTGGACCCAAAGATAATGCCTCGGGACCCCTACCTCACACCATACACAGCAATTCACTCAAAAACGTATCCAGGACCTAAGTGTCTGAGCTAAAACGACTACATGTGTACAAGAAAGCGAAGGCACAGATTCTCACAATCCCGAGCTTGGAGCAGATCCTAGACACGCGCAGCTCCAGCAAGAAAACAGAGCCCCGGCCAGTGTGGCTCGGTGGTTAGAGTGTCGGCTTGCGGACCAACGCGTCTCAGGTTCAGTCCAGTCAAGGACACGTTCCTCTGTTGCAGTTCGTCCCCGGCCCTGATTGGGGTCGCGTGGGAGGCAACCAGTCGATGTGTCTGTCTCACATCGATGTCTCTCTCCCTCTCTCCCTCTCTCCCTCCACTCTACCTGAAAATCAATAGAAAAATTACTCGGGTAAGGATTAAAAAAATAAAAAGAACACTTACAAATCGGCAATGAAAAGGACATTTTACAAATGGCTAATAAGCGCCTGCCCTGGGGGGTGTGGCTCAGTGGTTAGGTTGTCAGCCCCCGCACCAAAGGGTCATGGATTCAATTCCCAGTCGGGAACATATTCCTCGGTTGCGAGCTTGATCTTCGGCCCCAGTTGGAGCATGTGTAGGAGGCAGTCAATCAATATGTCTCGCTCTCATTGATGTTTCTCTCACATTGATGTTTCTCTTTCATTGATGTTTCTCTCTCTCATTGATGTTTCTCTCTCTCTCATTGATGTTTCTCTCTCTCCCATTGATGTTTCTCTCTCTCTCATTGATGTTTCTCTCTCTCTCTCTCTCTTCCTTCCCTCCCTCCTTTCCCATCTCTAAAAATCAATGGGAAAAAAATATCTTCAGGTGAGGATTTAATAAAAAAAAGAACACACAATGAGATACCACTGCACACCTGACATCAAGAAGACAGACGACGGTGAGTCTTCTCTGCTGCTGGGGATGTAAAACAAAATCTGCCGTGGCCGGTTTTGCTCAGCGGTTAGAGCATCGGCCTGAGGTCCAGAGACCTGGGTTCAGTTCCCGCTAAGGGCACGTACCTCGGTTGCAGTTTGTCCCCAGCCCTGGTTGGTCGTGCGGGTGGGTGGCAGCCCCTCGATGTGTCCCTTTCACGTTGATGTTTCTGTCTCTCCCTCCCTCCCACTCTGTCTGAACAAAAAATGGAAAAATGTCCTCGGGTGAGGATAAAAAACAAAAAAACAGCCTGGCAGTTCCTCCGAGGCTGAACGTGGAGTTCCCCTACAATCCTGGGGGTGCACCCCCAGAGGAGCATGCAACGTCCACGGAGTGGCACGCAGCCCGGAGCGAGGCCAGCCCACTGGCCGTGCCTCGACAGATACGGAGCACGTGCGCCGTCCGCCGTGGAACACTACTCGGCAGTGAAAAGGAGTGGAGTCCGGCGCACGCTCCCACGGGGAGGAGCCAGACGCAAAGACCACGTGTTACACAGCCCCATTTCTAGGGAAGGTCCAGAACAGGGAAATCTGTGTAACACAGAAAGCAGATCAGCCTCGTGTTGGGGATGAGGGGGGGTCCGCGTCACAGGGTTCTTTTTGAGGTGATGGAATGAACCTAAAATTGACTGTGGGGATGGTTGTAGCACTCTGTGAAGAGACTGGAAACCGTTGCATCGCACCTTTTAAGTGGGTGAACCGTATGGTATGGGAATTACATCTGGATCAAGCTGTTACCAAAGCACACTGTTTAGAAAGGAGGTAACAGCTCTGCCCCTCATTGATACATTCATAGTCAACGTCCCTTGCAAACGTCACAGGGACAAATCAAGACGGCCGAGTGGGAAGGAACCTCGCACAGTCCTATACACCGAAAAAGTCCTCTGCAGGGGACTGCCGCAAACGCAGGCTTGTCGGTCCGTACCCATCCGACCCCAGGCGGAGGCGAAAACCAGGGAACACACAGGCAGAGCCCCAGGCCATGCCCCGCGCCAGGCACTCCCAGGAAAGCCTCGCTCCCTGCCTCGCCATATCCGTCCTCAAAGCCCCGGCCTGCACCCTGACCACAAAGGCAGGAGCTCTGCAGGGCAGCCGCGGGCACTGGGCATCCCCACACAAGGAAGGCTCTCCCAGCCTTCACAACCACTGGCTCCCTCGACCACTTCCCGAGCGACTGCCAAATGGCGGGCGGCAAGCCCTGCGTCTCGAGTTACGTCCTTTTAAAACGATTTTAAAGGTAAGTTCATCGAAAAGCTTCCACGAAAAGTCAGCCGTTGTGGGAGGTAAGTCTCAGGTACTGGGGTTAAAGTGTCCAAAAGTCGGCTTTAGGGCTTGTCCTCGCTCCTGGAGTATCTGGGGAGAGTTTTCTAAGGGGGGAGCGAGCAGGGCTGGAAACGGCTGACTCCAGGCGGGTGACTCACCCGGGCAAACGGAATGCGGGCAGGCAGGAGGGGCCCTCCGACCCACAGCCCGACCCACAGCCCTTCCCCCGCCGGGGCCAGGCCAACCTGAGCCCAAACGCCGCGGGAGGCCCCGGGCCGAGCTGGTGGAAACTGGAACCCCCGGGGGGCCGACACGTCCACGGCCGCGGGAGCAGGAAGCCCTGTCCCCGAGGCCTCACCTGGGCGCCCGCGGGGACCGAGCTCCCACATCCACGCGGAAGACAACACGACACCTTCCCGGGGCCTCCGGCGCGCCCGGCGGAGGGGCTGCTCCGCGTTTGGAGACGCTCACACCGCGGCGCGTGGCGCTGCCCCCCATCGCCCCGACCGCAGGACCCTCGGACCCCTGCCCCGATGGAAAGCTGACCCTAACCCTAACCCCAGGCCTCCCCTGAACCCCGGGTCCCAGCACCCCTCCCGAACCTCCTTTCCTGGGGCCCCTTTCCTACCTCGCCCTCTGGACCTCGGCCTTCCCCTGGACCCCAGAGGCCCTCCCCAGCCCGCCCTCTGCTCCTGCTTCCGGCCTGCAGCCCCGGCCCCGCCCTCTGCCCCGCCCCTTCTCTCGGACCCGGGCCCTGCCCCTCCGACCCCACTCCGTCCTCCTCGGACCCTCGGCCCTTCCCTCCGCCACCCACCCTCCCCTCGGACCCGCCCTCTTCCCTGGACCCGGGCCCTGCCCCTGGGACCCCAGCCCTTCCCCTCTGACCGCACCCCGCCCTCCTCGGTCCCCGCCCCCTCCCCTCGGACCCCACTCCTTCCTCCTCGGACCCCGGCCCTGCCCCTCCGACCCCGGCCCTCGCCCTGGGACCCGGGGCGCTACCTCCACGGACCCCGCCCCCTTCCCTCCGCCACCCACCCCTCCCCTTAGACCCCACCCGAGCCCTCGGCCCGCCCCTCCCCCCTCGGCCCCGCCCCCTCGGCCCCCCCACCGCAAAGCCGCGCCCGCAACCCCCTCCCCCCGCGCCCGAAACCGCGAGCGGAAGAGCGGGGAGACCTCGGCGGCCGCAGCTTCCTTCCCGTTTCGGGGCCTGGCGGCGACCCAGCAGCGCAGGCGGGGAACCGGGCCGCCCGCCCGAGCACCCGCGCTCACCGCCGTGGGGTCCGCGCCGCCCGGCTGGTCCCCCGCTCCCGACGCCCGCCGCTCCCAGGCTCCCGCTCCACTTCCGGTTCCGCGGGCGGGGGCCGGGGCCGCATCCGGTCGGTGAAGCCCCGCCCCGCCCCACGCCCCGCCCGCGCGGGTTGCAGCCCAGGGAGGGGGGCCCGGCTGCCTGCAGCCCCCGCCCGCGGGCCGGGCTCCGCCGGTACGAGCCCCGGAGTGACGCGCGCGGAGCAAACCCTCCGACGCCGCGTGAGCGGACCGGCCGAGACCGGCTCCAGGACTCGTGGCACCGCGGGCGGAGGACGGGACAGTGAGCCGGCCTGGGGTCGGTGTGCGCGCCTGGGGCCCTGAGGACTCGCTCACCGGTGACTGGGACCCCAGTTGGCTGAGAGAGCGAACGTCGTCATTATCCACCCCTCTGCCTGTCTCCATCCATCCCGAAGCGTCCATCCATCCCCTATCCATCCATCCACCATCCATCCCCTATCCATCCATCAACAATCCATCCATCCATACACCCACTATCCATCCCCTTCCGCCATCCATCCATCCCCTATCCATCCATCCACCATTCACCCATCTATCTATCCATCCATCCACCATCCATCCATCCATCCATCCCCTATGCATCCATCCACCATCCATCCATCATCGATCCATCCATCCATCCACCCACTATCCATCCCCTTCCACCATCCATCCATCCCCCATCTTTCCCTCCATCCATCCATTCACCCACCATCCATACACCCACTATCCATCCCCTTCCGCCATCCATCCATCCCCTATCCATCCATCCACCATTCACCCATCTATCTATCCATCCATCCACCATCCATCCATCCATCCATCCCCTATGCATCCATCCACCATCCATCCATCATCGATCCATCCATCCATCCACCCACTATTCATCCCCCTTCCACCACCCATCCATCCCCCATCTTTCCCTCCATCCATCCATCCCTCCCCTATCCATCCACCATCCATCCATCCATCCATACACCCACTATCCATCCCCTTCCACCATCCACCCATCCCCCATCTTTCCCTCCATCCATCCATCCCTCCCCTATCCATCCACCATCCATCCATCCATCCATACACCCACTATCCATCCCCTTCCACCATCCATCCATTCCCCATCTTTCCCTCCATCCATCCATTCACCCACCATCCGTACACCCACTATCCATCCCCCTTCCACCATCCATCCATCCACCATCCATCCATTCACCCACCGTTCATACACCCACTACCCATCCCCCTTCTACCATCCATCCATCCCCATCTTTCCCTCCATCCATCCATTCACCCACCATCCATACACCCACTATCCATCCCCCTTCCACCATCCACCCACCCACCATCCATCCACCCTTCATTCACCCTTCCATCCAGAGAAGGCCAGATCTGTGTCAGAGATAGAAGGTCAGTGGAACAAAAATGCACCGGGCCCTCGAGGCATGGCAGCCTTGCAGGGAATTTGGGCATGAATCACATAGATACAGAATTAGGTAATGAGATAAAAGCCACAAAGAACTCAAAGATGTCATGAAATTATACTGGGAAGAAGGTGAGACCTCAACACTTCCTGGAGATCAGAGAAGGTTTCTCGGAGCAATTAAAACATTTGCGTCAAGATTTAAAGGCCACAGGGGAGTAAACAGAGTAAGGAGGGAAGAATTTTCCGGGCAGAGGAACTGAAGAAAGGTCAGCACAGCGGAAGTGTGGAGACCGAGCCAGGTCACGTCAAGGTTGCCCGAGCACAGCAGGGACCTTGGTTTTTATTTTTAAAGGAAATAGCAAGTCCTTGGAGGAATGAAGTGGAGGAGAGACCCCCTAAAGTGTGCATTGTAATGGGAGCCCTCTAGCGGCTGTGCAGAGAGTGGCCGGGAGGAGTCTGGCGCAGAGGGGGAGATGGAGAGAAACTCCTGATACTTAGAGACACTTAAACAGTTACATTGTCACGCTTAAGAACGGAAGAGGGCCCTTGGCCGGTTTGGCTCCACCGCTAGAGCTTCGGCCCGCGGACCAAACAGTCATGGGCTCGATTCCGGCCAAGGGCACGTACTTCGGTTGCGGTTTGGTCCCCGGCCCTGGTCCGAGGCGCGCGGGAGGTGACCGAGGGATGTGTCTCTCTCACATCGATGTTCCTCTCTCTCCCTCCCAATCTATCAAGGGTTCTCTCTCTCCCTCCCAATCTATCAAGGAAAGTCAATGGAAAGATGTCCTCAAGTGAAGGTTTTTTTAAAGAGTAAGCAGCATAAGGACATAAAGGTAGGCAGGGCAGAATGCAGTGCGGTTGGGGACGTGAGGTCGGACAGGAGCAACTTCAGCATCTTCACGCGCATCACCACTGCCGACAGCGCAAGGGTGTGTGTGGTCCAGCCCCAGCTCCTTGCTGGGTGGACTGAGGGAAGACTCCCTTTGGGTGCTGAAGGCAGAGGTCCCAGCTCCACCACCTGCTAGCTGTGTGACGGTGGACCGCCTGCATCCGGGGTCCGCATGTCGTTTGATTAGCCCGGGGCCTGGCACGCGGCACTGCCCGGCCCTTACTGTACACATCAAGGAGGGGAAAGCCCACAGGCAGGCCGCCCGGCAAGGCAGCTCCACTTTACCTTAAGTGAGGACAGGGATCGGAGAGGCTGGTGCCCTACCTGAAGCCACACAGCAAGTGGGTGAGACTCCCGTTCTGACCCACCCCTGTGGCCTGGGGTCAATTATTTAGAGCACCCCCTTTCACTCGGAAAACTGTGGCTACAATTCTGTGCCCAGGTGCCCCACCTGCCTTGCTCCCACCTCTAGTCCTACTTGCTCCAGGAGCCGCACCCAGGCTCCTGGGCGCCGCCCACAGCCGCAGCCTCGCCGATAAGCACACTGCACTCCTTTAGTGCTGATTGGCTCAGGGGTGGGCGTGCCCCAACCTGGCCCAATGGGACTTGAAGCTTCAGAGACGGGAGGACAGACCCGGTCACCCACACCAGAGGAAGAGAAAAGGCAAACCAGGGTCCTTCGCAGTTAGAATGAGCCTGGAATGCAAATTCCAAAGCACGTCCCAAAAACGAATATTAAAGACAAAGGCCAATACAATGAACAACTTACTACAGTTGAATGTTATGTTGTAGAACAAGGCATGATCGTAAAATATGTTTGTTTTGACAAGGAATGTTTATAAAATAAAGTCAAAAAAGGCCCTGGCTCAGGGGAGCTCAGCTGCTTAGAGCGTCATCCGGATAGGCCAAAGTTGCGGTTCAGTCTGGGTCGGGACACATACAAAGAGCAACCAATGAATGGGTGGGTAAGGGGGACAACAAATCGATGTTTCTCTCTTGTGCTCGCTCTCTCCCTCCCTAAAAATCAATCAATAAAAAAATTTTAATAAAATAAGGTCAAAAATGAATGAACAGAAACAGGCAGTTATGAAAAATCTCATGCAGGTGCTGTGGACGGAATTGTGTGTCCCCCAGAAATTCATGGGTTGAAGCCTGGTGCCCCGTGTGTTTTTGGGGGTGTGGGGCCTTCATGCTGGATGTGTACCCTTGTAAGAAGGGACACCAGAGAGCTTGTGTGATTCCTGTGTTAGTGTGAAGTCACAGCAAGAAAGTCTGCAAGTCGGGAATAGAGCCCCCACGGGGGAACCAAATCAGCCAGCATCTTGATCTCAGGCTTCTCACCCCAGAAACAAACCGGTGTTAAGCCACCCCAACTATGCTACTTTGTTACAGCACCCTGCGCTACCTGATACATTCTAGAAAATGTGGTTACTGAAATGGAAAGCTCAGTAGGTGGGGTGAATTCTAGATGTAGGTTGTGAGGACTGGTGATTTGGGAACTCTTACCAAGGGGTAGCACAGTGTGAAAAACAGATTCGAAGCAATAAAGAAAATAAGATACAGCATATAAGTCACATGGAAGACCAGCTGAGAGATTCGAGTCTGGACTGAGCAGGAGTTCTGGGAGTGGAGAATGAAGGAACAGCAGAGAGCCCTGGTTGGTTTGGCTCAGCGGTTAGAGCGTCTGCCTGCAGACCAATGAGTCACAGGTTCGATTCCGGTCAAGGGCACGAACCTCGGTTGCAGTTCGTCCCCAGCCCTCACGGGGTCATGCGAGAGGCAGCCAGGAGATGTGGCTCTATCACATTGATGTTTTTCTCTCTCTCTCCCTCCCTCCCACTCTATCTGACAATAAGTAGAAAAATATCCTCAGGTGAGGGGGGGTGGTAGTGAAAGAATGGTGGAGAAAAATAATAAACAAATAAAAATGTAAAGAAAGAATGGTGAAGGAGTAATAACCGAGGAAATGATAGATGAGACATTCCTATAATCAAAGGAAGATGAGCACATACACAACAAAAGTGCTCTCCAGTTCCAAGTGTTGGCTGGAATAGACAGAGCCATCACAAGCCCATGAAAACTTGGGAATACATCATCCCCTAAACAAAGGAGTGCACTCCCTTGTTGCTCATGGCTCTTGCTTGTTGCTCATGGCTCTTGGCTCTCTCTGCTCATGGCTCTCACTTGTTGCTCATGGCTCTCTCTTGCTGCTCATGGCTCTTGCTTGTTGCTCATGGCTCTTGGCTCTCTCTTGTTGCTCATGGCTCTCACTTGTTGCTCATGGCTCTCTCTTGTTGCTCATGGCTCTCTCTAGTTGCTCATGGCTCTCTCTTGCTGCTCATGGCTCTCTCTAGTTGCTCATGGCTCTCTCTTGTTGCTCATGGCTCTCTCTAGTTGCTCATGGCTCTCTCTTGCTGCTCATGGCTCTCTCTTGTTGCTCATGGCTCTCTCTTGTTGCTCATGGCTCTTGGCTCTCTCTGCTTATGGCTCTCACTTGTTGCTCATGGCTCTCTCTTGCTGCTCATGGCTCTCTCTTGTTGCTCATGGCTCTCTCTAGTTGCTCATGGCTCTCTCTTGCTGCTCATGGCTCTCTCTTGTTGCTCATGGCTCTCTCTAGTTGCTCATGGCTCTCTCTTGTTGCTCATGGCTCTTGGCTCTCTCTGCTTATGGCTCTCACTTGTTGCTCATGGCTCTCTCTTGCTGCTCATGGCTCTCTCT